AAGATAACATGCTGGGGGTTTACTGGCTATAGAAAAAAAAAGTCAAAAGCCAAAAACAGCCACAATAAAAACGTCCAGTGTGCATGAGGACTAAAGGTGCCTGCATAGATTTGCAGCAGAACCCAATTTACAGATGAATCAATTTTGAACTAAAAATTTAAAAATCAATTTTCAGTTGAAATCCTCCTCTGTACATGCCCTCCACTGCTGTAATTTTTTCAGTACAGAGGGGGTTAAAAGAACTAAGGGGCTGTCATGGACCATCAACATTCATTGAAGCTGTAGCATGGCTTCTATGAATTGCGGAGCTGTGTGGAAAGAGCGGGCATATTTATGCTCTCCTGCTGGAACCCTGTGGTTGCCCCTTAGTTCTATTAACCCTTGCCACACCACAAAATTACTATGGTGTGGAGGGCATAGATGCAGGAGGATCCTAACTTAGCCTAAGTTCACACTATTGCAAGCCATGCAGCCCATGTTTGCTCAGGCACGGCAGCCTTTGTCATTTGAATGGGCTGCTGTGCCTGCGTTTCCCATAGGAAAAAGGGTGCATGCACCTTTTTAAAAACGTGGCCACAATGAAATCTCATGGTCTTTTTGACCATGTGATTTCTTTTTTTGACCATGCAAATTTCTCCTGCGGTTCCCGCAGACGCGCTGCAGCATGAGAGGCATGGGGGTGCGTCTGCGGGAACAGTTGTGATTCCTGTGGGAAACCTCATGGTCTTTTTTACCATGCAATTTCCCTGCTGTTCCTGCAGACACACCACAGCATGAGAGGAGCAGGCATTGGGGTTGCCATTCAGAATGAATGGGGTGGGTGGCTGTGAATGGGGTGGGTGGCTGTAGGTGTCGGAACAGGTGCGATTCCTGCACCCACAACCAGCCCACTGACTGCAGGCAAGTGTGAACTTAGTCCTAAAGAAGAGGAACCAGCACAAGGCGTACATCCATCTGACTCTTAAGTTATGTCCCTTGTGCTGTTTTTTTTTTTTTTTTTATTTAGCTACACTCAGTGAAGGTTCACATTACAGCGGTGCAGTAAATCCCATGTGATTTGCACAGGAACCGCACCGCATTCCTGTACAAATCACATGCAATTTGTATGCGGTACGATTGGAGCCATACATTTTGTATGGCTCTATTCACACCGCACCCGCACCAAAAACATGCAGGACCCTTTTTTGGTCTGCACTGGAATCGGATCGCATAGGTATCCACGCCTATGCGATCTGATTCTGCACATTGCACCGCGTTTTGTGGACTGCTTTTGGGGTGTTGTTACCTTAACATACACACCCGCATCAGTTCGTATGAACGGGGTGCGATTGTGATGCGGTACGGAATTTGCCCAGAAAACACTGCAAATTCCGCACCGCATCAGTGTGAACCCAGGCACAGGCTGTAAGGTAAATTGAGCGCACTTTCTGACTTTAGCTCACTTACAATGTTTCCTGGATAGCATTAGCAATTCACTGACTGTTTCCACTTGTCATTCAGAGCTGCTGCTTAAATCTCTTTGTAGAAATGATGTTTGCAGTGTGTTGTAGACACAGTGAGGCATAACAATCAAACAGATTGATATTCAATTAAATGAGATGACAAATCACTTGTGCTGTTTTGTTACCTTAGTATGATTCACCAGACAGAGAATTAGAACCCCTCCAGAGACAGCACGACCTGTGTCTTGATTACTCATCTCTACAGACTAGAGCAGTGTGATCGGATTATGGTACAGTGTACTGATCATCCAGATGACATCAATGTTCACAGATTGTTCAGCAATAAACTGAGCAATAAAAGTCTGCAAACACAAAGAATTACTATAAATGTTATATTGGCCATCATGATCTATTACATCACAAATATACTGTGTAAAGATAGAATTGATGTAAAAACAAATGTGTCATAAAACTAAACAAACAATTACCATTAAAACTGAACTCCAGTCCATTATACATCCACAGTTATTCCAGTTATATGTTTGGTTAAGAAAATAAATGTACCTTTGCACGGTTATGGGAATGAGATAGTGAGCCCTTTTCATCTTGATGCATGCCTAATAGTGACGGGCTGTTCCTGTTCGGTCGAACATTCGAACCTACCGAAAGTTTGACCACAAACTTTACAAAGGGACAATTTGCTGAGTGGTATCTTAATGCTTCCGAGTATGTGGTAAGATACCGCTCAGTTATTGAAATACCGCATGAGTTATTTTATCAAGTCATGCGGCATTTTAATAGTGAAACATTCATTCATGTTTCAGCTGTCAGCGGGCTTCCCCACTGACAGCCGAATGTCAAAAGAATTCTGCACTGCCCGACAATTAAATTTTTTTTTTTAAATGGCATAGGGTCCCCCCTCCCATCCATACCAAGCTCTTCAGGTCTGGTATGCATTTTGAGAGGAACCCCCAACCCCAAAATTAAAAAACAAATGGCATGGGGGTCCCCCCCAATATCCATACCAGACCCTTATCTGAGCATGCAGGTCAGGAAGGGGGGGGGGGGAGAGCGAGCAAGTGCCCCTCTTGAACCATACCAGGCCACGTGCCCTCAATATGGGGGGATGCTTTGGGGCAGGGTGGCTCCCCCCCGAAGCACCCTGGCCGGTGGTTGTGGGGGCCTGCGGGCGGGGGGGCTTATCAGAATCTGGAAGCCCCCTTTAAAAAAGTGGCCCCAAGATTTCGCCCCCCCATGCGAATGAGTATGCTGGTACATAGTACCTCTACTCATTCACAAAAAAAAAGTGCAGTTTAAAAAAAGACAGGAGACAGTCTTTGACAAGTTCTTTATTAAAATTTAAAAAAATGTCCCCTGAAGTAGATCCATTGTCAATCACAATACCACCATCGCCAACATGAAAAAAGATAAATAAATCCGCTCCGCCCTCGACGCTGGCTCCTGCCATCTGACAGCTGCACCACAATGACGGTTCTTAAATAGGGTGATGATGTCCCAAGGGTTGGGATCGCCCCCACCCCTTGTGACCCCTTGTGACTTCAAATCATTGTACCATGCCCTGAGTGATTGGCCAAAGCTAATGCCTTGTACCTAACCTCTTGGACTTCAGGGCTGCATAAAAGCAATGCTTTGGTGCCAAGCTATTTCACAATGCACAGTCAAATCTTGCAGTGCACCTTGTGGGGCGCAAAACAGCAAACAGCCTGCTGAATGCCCATACCGTTCATGCGGTGTTCAACAAACACATGAACGGCCCATGTCCTCTCCCTCCCCTCCCTCCTCGGACTGAGTGCCCCGGCCTCGAATTTATGTTTGATTCGCGCCCCAAAACATGCAGCTCGGGGCACTATGTAGGCGGGGCAGCTAATCCTCTTTCACAGTTTATTTAACAGCAAGAATGCAGCAGAGAAGAGTGTAAGGGGGGAACCATTCTTGGGGACTTGCATGGGGGGGGGACTTACTGCATGGGGGATGAAAGAATGGGAGATGAATCTGAGTGCTTACTTATGGGGGGCTATATGGGAGCTATTTGGTTGTATGGGAAAAATTCATTATGAAATCTATGGGGGATGAATTCCTACCTGCACCTTGTGAATTACTATTTTACTATATGGGGGCATAGGGATGAATTACTATGGGTGATGAATTTGTTAATGTATATGGGGTATCATGGGGTGAATTCATTGGGTTGCCCTATGCACACAGCATGGGGGTAAACTATTGGGGGACATTACTCTGCATCAGAAGTTTCTGTTTGTATTTTCAAACATGAGGCAAATTTCAATGGTTTTGGCACTGCAGAGCTGCCCAATGCCCTATGACCCCTGTCTGTAGTCTGTTTGAGAACTGACATTTGGAATGTGTAGCACTGCAAACTACATACCCCTATCAGTCTGAGAACTGAATCCTGTGTAGAAACTGGGATATCAGTCTAGTGCTCTGCGGGTGAGATCTAAACAGTGATTAGATGTGACACAGACACAAACAGGTAGAACAATTAACAGAGCGATAACCATGCAGCTTTTCCCTCACATTACATTTGTGATGCAACACAGAAGACATGGTGAGGTATACATTGGATGCATGATGAATGCCAGACTGAATGCAGGGATACATTCATTTGTTTACTGAAATGCTTATACGATTCATCACTATTTTGATTGGGGGATTTAGCGCTGGAGACTATGCATTGGATGCTGCCTGACCCCTGAACAAGAAGCTGCCGATCCTTTTAGCAAATAGCAGCAAGCTAGGTGAATAAATACATGGACATAGGGGGATTAATCAGCCATGACACTACAAACTGCAGCCACAACATGTTAGCCTATTGTTACAATGTAAGGGGAAAGCACAACACAGGGGATATAACTACACGAATACCTAGTTAAAACAACAAAAACACTTGAAAGTGTACAATGCCTTTAAAGTATGCCTAAATTCAAAACTTTTGGGGGGTTTTGGATAGAGTGGAGAGTTTTGGATAGAGAGGAGGGAACACTTGTCAGGGTTCTATTGCTTTCTGTGTCCCCATTAGATAGATTCATCTTCTTTATTTGTCTTGTTTACCGCTATCATGGAGTGAGACAGTAAAACAAAACCCTGAATTTTGGGTTGTCACCAAAACAGAATAAAATGGAAATCTTCCAATAGTACAATCATTTTGGTGACAACCAGGGATTCTCTCACTTTGGAGGGATTTCCTCTCACTTCCTGTTTTGGCTATGGGACAGGAAGTGAATGGAAAATTTCCCCAGTGTGACACAGATGGCAAAAAAATCTGAGAGAACTTATAACCCCCCCCCCCCTTCTTCTGTCCAAAATTAATAAAAGTTTTGCTTTAGCTCTGCTTTAATTAAGCAGTGGGTACCTATAGCTGAAACATCAGATTTGGCCAGACTGACCCTTTAAATTCCATGTTATAATTGCCATGGGCACTATGTACTGTTTTTTTCCTAAAATGATACTATAGTGATATATTTTTCATTCAACATACTTCAACAAACCTTTGGATGCACACTGTTGACTTTCCATCTCCAGGTTGCACACCACTGATGCACGCTGTTTCTGGACGACAAGTCGATACAGTGAAACTGCTGCTGAAAATGGGAGCTAACATAAATACACAAGATGCCTGTGGACGAACGAGTCTTTCACTTGCCACGTACCTGGTAAGTAAATGTAATCTTTATAGCAGAATACATGAGTTCACCTTTTCATAGTACATGCTTTACAAGAACATCCACTTCAAGATTTACGTCATTTCTATTGGTTTCTATTATAAACCTTGTTCCATTTTCTTCATTAACTAGACTGTCTTAATTAAATTAACATCCTGAAAGCATCCTTTGCAGCGAAGGGGATATTTTTCAGTATTAATAATTCATTATAGTTATTATTGTTTTTATTTTGCATGTACATATGTTTATGTGCACTTCTAGCAATCATGTTGTTTATTCATCCTTCCTTGGTGGAGATGGTAGAGGGCATATTGAAGATACACGATGAGTTTATTATACAGCATACAACATCATTGCCCTTGCTCAAGCTGCTGCAAATCTACCCTTTTCATCTCACTAGGAGTGTCTTGCCCAGGGTGGATTTGATTTAAATCAAACTGATTTAAATCACGATTTAAATCACTAGTCAGTAAGGCTTGATTTAAATCATAGTTTTCTACATAGACTAATTCTTGCTGGTATAACTTTAATATGCAAGTAGATGAAGGTTTTAGAATAACAACTTTTCATATTAGTTTTTTTTATCCCCAGTTTAATAGGTTAATCATTCATATTTGGACAACTTTTCTGTTGTACTTAGGAAGGAGAAAAATAATCATTACCTTAATAATAACAATTTAAATAGATTTATTCAACTGAAACAATAAGATTACAGCATATGTTATTTGCTTAAACATCCATGTTTGTTAACTAATTTGGCTAAACAAAAATATATATTTTAAGAAACTTAGACTGTCAGCCCCTTCCTCCTCACACTTAGTTTCTTCTTGTGCAGATCTATTCCACTCCAAACAATCAGAAAAATATTGTTTCTATTCTATTCACTGAACTTCTTGAAACTTAGCACTGAAGGGGTTGATTCTGTATTCATAGGTTTGTAGAAGTTAGGATTAAGGTCTTTTTCTTAAATCTGTTCATGTTATAACATTCTTGCTGTGAAGAAGAGGCATGTGATCTCCGCTGAGTCAAATTCAGTTTTTATAACTGCAAAAGTAAACCAAGCATCTGTGATAATATCTTGTAGGCAGAGAAACTGCCCAATAATCTTACAAAAACCTCTGGAAGAGCATGACATTGTGCCCGCCTCCAGGACTTCTCCAGGGTGTCACCCATCCTCTGGAACTCCCTGCCCCAACCCATCAGATTATCACCTACTCTCCTCTCCTTTAGGCGCACCCTGAAAACCCATCTCTTCAGGGAAGCCTACCCCACCCCCTGCTAACTTGCCGACCTCCTCCACTCTTCCTACCACTCCATCCCCCACAGCTATCTCCTCCTGTGCCACCACCCCCTCCCTCCTAGATTGTAAGCTCGAAAGAGCAGGGCCCTCGATCCCCTCATGTTTTGCATTGTATTGGTATTGTTCTGTCACATGTTCTGTCTCCCTTTGTAATGTACAGCGCTGAGCGAACTAATAAATACTGTATAATAATAATAATAATAATAATTTACCAAAACAATAAAACATATACAGCCTTATTCTACATAATTAAAAAGCGAATCTTTATTTCATGATGGAATAACCTTTGGATGGTAATATATTTTCCTCAAAAAGCATTTTATTTAAAAAAAATCTGATTTAAATAAAAAAAAAATCTGATTTAAATCAAAAAATACGTTTTTTTAAATTTTTTTTTTTAAAAATCATTGATTTTTATCCACCCTGGTCTTGGCCTTATAGGCTCCGTTCATACCTATCCAAGTGCAAAGGTACAAATGCATGTTTGCACATTGCATTTATGGATGCCTATTAATTTAAATGGGCTACCCTATGTGTGAAAAATGCACAAAAAAAGAGCATGATCCTTTTTAAAATTCATGCCGCACCAAAACTAATGGTACCATTAGCAAGGTGTGTTGGGGTGTCATTGAGAATTAATGGCACTGCTGTACGCCTGCAAAAGGGGTGCACGTTTATTGTGTGCTGTGGAAATGCACATGATTTTATGCACATTCCTGCAATGCTCACAAATGTGAACCTAGCCTTAGGTGAGAAATTACAGACTAAGAACCTATAAGCACCAACTACAGTTCTAATCATGTGATTCACTTATACTGTTTAGGACTGGCTCACTGCTAAAAAAAAAAAACACAGAGGATCCCTTTGGTATGGTCCTAAAACTTTCCACTTTTTTCCCTTATCTGCTCACACCCAATCTCCCACAAGACCCACTGACTCTCTTATGCTAGCCATAGACGGTTTGAAAATCGGCAGATTTTTTGGCCGAAAAAAAAAATCGGACGATTTTTGCACTGTTAGTGGGTTAATTGGTCGGCTGTTTTTCGGGTCTTTTGCACTTTTGAGATTTTCGGTCATGTTGGAACATTTGCGGCCGATTTGGACGATCAGTGATTTTCCCGGCAATGATGGCCAAATCAGCCGATCGTTTTAACGATAAACAATCTGCACATGAGCCGTGACCTGCAAGGGACAGAAGTTATGGGGTGAACTTTATGATTTAGTTGGCCGATTATTTTAATCGTTAGTGGTAACGTCGGCCGAATGAGCGACAGATTTTTCGTTTATCGTTCAAAAAATCGTCCGATGTTCAACCCGTCTATGGCCTGCATTAGACTGTGTATTACACACCCCTGAGGGGATGTCAATCACAGCTGCTGTCTCCTATGTCGTGCACACAACTTTCATAGAGCCAGTGTCATCTGGATGAGAAAGTTACTGCAGAGTCAGCCCCTTCTGCATACTGAATCCTACCTAGAACTCAGGAACAGCAGATAACAGTGTGCTATAAGTTATTTTGTAGCTCTCTACGTGTGAATGCAGTGTTGTTTCTTAGTAAGTAGACCTGACACAATGCAATCCTTATTGTACTGGTGCCATATTATCTGTTTATATAGAAGCAGTAAGACTGAGCATAGAGGGTGACAAAAGATTATGTCAGGGTTGTGATAGTACCAAGGTACTGTTGGAATCTTGGCTATGATTACTGGGTAGAAAAGTTCTTTATGTCCAAATGTGATATATTCTTGTGTAGCTATTATATGGGCTGTAGTATGTGTAAAGCGCTGAGCAAACTGTTGGCGCTATATAAATCCTGTATAATAATAATAGTCACTTGAAAAGGGATTGAGTTCCCTCTAGGTATCTACTAGGTCTGTTTTCATGAATAATTTGTTGAAGTGCTTGGAGCCAGGATTAGGGGTGGAATTAGGGGAGGAAAATATGTCCAGTTTAGGATTCCTTAGCAAATGAAGGTTGCCACATAAAATTTTAGTCCCTTTACAATGAGTGTTAAAGAGCTCAAGAAGATGGAGCAGAAATGGTAACTGAGAAGAGTTATGAAAATAGTAAGTTAAAACAGCAATTTTAGAATCTTGGAGGGAGTATGTGCCTTAGCATCTGAGATTTGTTTAGCTTTAGGTGGGAGTGGAAGCTGGAAAGACTTAGTAGGCAGCATGGAAGCATGAAAATATTTTCAGAGATGAGTTATTGGAAAAATTAGTTTTCCTGTAGGCACGCAATGTTTATTTATTGAGAGCCCAGGAAGCTAAATACCATACTGAGCTTTACAGAAAAGTTGAGGCCCTGGACACTACATGTTAAAATTCTGAGAGCCATATTGATGGGAATGGAGGGAGACAGCCAGTTAAGTCCAGAAGATGCTGTCTGGCAGGGTTCTGTCTCGCCCTATGAGGAAATGGATAGGGAAAGGATAGTAGTATGGAGACGTAGTTACTGAAGAGAAATAGTACTAGAGGAACAAGGGAGGTAGCATGTATCTGCAAGCGGTCTCTTCTCTATCAATATGTGTGTGTAATGTGATGAAAGACCAGAATATGCTAGTGGTATTAGCAACTTGAGTGGGTGGTGAAGAGCTGGAGGTAAGGGAGAGATAAGGTGTGTGGATATGTAGCAGTCATATGATTGAATTGCAGACAATGGTGTGAAATAAGCAGAAACATAGAAAAGTGACGCCAGAAAAAGACCGAGTGATCCATTGAGTCTGCCCGTTTTTTTTTTCTTTTTCATGTTTTTTTTTTTTTTGTTAACTGTTTTGTCTGAGTATAGATCTGTGCTTGTCCCACGCATGTTTGAAGCTATATACTGTTAACTGGCTCACTACCTCTGCTGGAAGATTATTCCAATCATCAACTACTCTTTCAGTAAAATAGTACTTTCTGAGATTAGTTTTGAACTTTCCCCCAGTTAGTTTAAGGTCATGTCTCAGTGTTCTTGATTTTGGTTTCATGTTGAAATACTGCCCTCCTGAACCTTATTCACCCCCTTGATGTATTTAAAGGTTTCAGTCATGTCTCCCCTTTCCCTTCTTTCCTCCAGACTGTATATGTTCAGTTCCTGAAGTCGCCCTTGATATGATTTATCCCCCCCAGACCTTTCACCATTTTTGTTACCCATCTCTGGACTCGTTCTATCATATCAATATCTTTTTGTAAGTGAGGTCTCCAGAACTGGACACAGTATTTTAAATGAGGTCTAACTAAAGATCTATATAGAGGAATCAGGACCTCTTTCCTCCTGCTGGTGACCCCTCTAGTGATGCATCCTGGAATTCTATTCGCTTTCAGGGTTTTTTTCAGCAGGAAAGCGGGGGGAATGTAGTTCCGTCATCTCCAGCACTGAATGTATGAAATAGCAAGGGGTGCTGGGGTGTGCTGGAAGGTCTATTAATGCTGAAGGGTCAGTTGTTGCTGGGAGGGATCTACTGTTGAGGGAGGGGTCTGTTGTTGCTGGCTGCTGGGAGATTTATTGTTGCTAGCTGGGGTCTATTGTTGATGTGGGTGCTTTTTGTTATTGGCAGCAGCGGATCTATTTTTATGTTTTCATTAGAAAATTCCTTACAAATTACTTAACACCACAAAATGATGCCTGGTTCTGTATTTAGTATACTAAAAGGGGTGGTACTGGTAGGAAGGTAGGTGGTGGAACCAAAGGATGGTGCTCATAGGTGGGT